GGTCTCCTCCCCCCCCCCCCCCCGGAGGTACCGTGTTCCTGGGGGCCAACCCCTACTTTTGCCTGAGTCGTTGCAGTGAACATGGCCGCACGCCCGCGCCGGCCTGAATGGCAAAGAGCCGCTCAGGCGATGGGCAGGGTCCCTCCCTGCCCTTTCAGGAATCACCAGGCTCAACCTGGTTTGAGCTCAAAGTAACTGAATTGCTAGGCTTGAACCATGGCATGGAAGCGCCGCCGCTCTAAGGAGCCCTCGCAGTGCCTATAGCCACCCGTTTCCATCCTCTGCAGACAGAGGTGGGCATGGCTTCATCTAATTCATCTAATTCATCTAATTCATTCATCTAATGACCAAAGGTGACCAAAATGGCAGATGGTGCCATATCAGGCCATACTCCTTGTGGTGCAAGGAGCTTGGCCGGGCTTTCCTTGGGCAGCCCTGGGCAGGCCGCGCTCGGTGCCACGTGGCTTGGGGGCATACAGTGAGCCCAGGTCGTGCTTTGGGAATGGGCCACCAAGCACTGCTCGGAGTGGGCTGGGACACCTGCTGTGCGTGGCAGGGCGCAACGCCAAGGCCTCCCAGGCACGGGTAGGGATGAGCCTGGCACCCGGGAGGACTGGCAGCAACCCCAGTGCGGCTGGGGAGAGCCAGCTCTGCATAGGCACGGAAGAAAAAAAATCATGTTTTCCTGAGCACTTTCTAAACAAGCACCTATGGTTCTCCTAGCCATGAGTGCTGGGGTACACTGAGGGCCAGCAAAATGGTGGCCCAGCTAATACCACCCCCCACAGTAAATATCTTGAAAAAAACGGCCACCCCCTTCACTAGCCATAGACACACAGAAAAAAGAAGAAGAAAAAAATCCCCCATGCCGGCACAGGGCATGGGCCGTGCACAGAGATGACCTCACGACCCAGCGCTGCTCCTGCAGTGGCGTCCAGCGGCAGGAGGCGGAGAGGCAAAACGTGGCGCAAGAGCAATACAAGAACAGGGTTACTCATCCCTAAGGACTGTAAGACAGAAGTCCACGCGTCATGACCTGTCCCACCCCCTTGCGAGGGACTGGGCAGCCAGCAGCCTGGCCCCAGTCCTGCTCGAGGAGCCCCCCGCGAAGCCAGGCAGGGCGCGCGC